TGTGCGCTGCTTTTCGGTCTGGTTACTACACCGGTACCCATCCCTAGTCATAACAATAAGAGATTAAAAGGTCTGAGGCTCTTATGAGGCATTAGACATTGACTGAATACAGAAGGGTGATGTCTCTTGAATTTATCAGTGATATTCAACAGCAATCTGAAGATAGTGTTGCTGGTTACAGAAAGCCCAGCGTGGTTGAACCTCATTTGCTTAATTAAGGACATGTCCCAAATGTAAGGTTCTAGCACCATTTAATAATTACCACATTCGTCTTTCAGATTTCACTGAATTAAATGTGAACAAACACGACCGCAGCTGAGAATACTGATGGCGTCTCCTGACATCCATGTTGCATTTAATGAGTCACTGGAAAACACGGACTTTCTTTACAGTCCTGAACCTTGGAATGCCCGGGGTGTGTGATCTTCTTACCCCAGGCTGTCTGTCTGCAGAAGTGTGAAGAAAAAAAAATACAAATACTTTGTTACTCTACTGTATCTGTACTTCACTTGAGTATTTGTTTTTTGACAACTTTTTATTGCTACTCTTCACATTTTTTGCACAAATTTCCAATATTTGTCATTTCTATTCCTTACATTTTCAAAACAGGCTTGTTTCTTTAAGCCAAACTCATTTGACACCCCGGCTTTATTTTACATCACTGTGAATCTTAAAAAATCAACTAGATTTGGATTTAAATGGATGGAACAAGAACACGTAAAAGACACTCCTACATCCTCCATCACCAGTGCTTTTTATTTAGTGCAAGATAAGCAGGTCAGCTCACCACACTGTTGTGCATTTACAGTAAAGCACTGTGTTGGACTGGCCAACGGTGGCTGTGGTGCTCATGGTCATTTAAGTTATATCAACTGATGAATTTGAATTTCAGCTGATGGTTCTAAAATTCATTAAAGCTTTATACCAACTCTATATTGTCTGGTGTAAAAACAGTATAAACAGTGAACTGTCAGTGGACTGAATAGAAATCTGCTAAGATAGCTGTGAAACATCTGCTTACAGCTTGTTGAATTCAGTTGTGTAAAATCAAGCAAGAGCAGTAAACCTCAGAGCCACAGCAGCACATGTGAGCTGATGCCAGCCTGGACACAAAGAAAAACGACTCGAGTTTACGATAGAAGTTATCTTGAGCTTTAATTCTTTTCCAAACGCCGACCCACTGCAGCTGGTTCCCCACCAT